GGAAGAGACCCCTCTGTGCCCAGGAAGTCTAAATCAGTAGGAAGGGTGAGAGGATCAGCCATCCCCCCAGGAGGGGATCAGTTGGGGGAACCCCCCCGCCCCAAAGAGCACTCATGTTCCCCTGGGTCAGGGTCTGGTAAGGATGGGGAAGGGCAGCTACTTACTAGTTCAGCAGAGCGTGTAAGTAAAGCTCCTATGACAGATCCACCTCACCACCTTAGTGGGGGGCTGTTGGAAGAGGGTAAACACAAACTCCAGTACCCGATCATGTGTGTCCATGCAAGAAGTTTAACTCACTGGCAACCCCAGGCCAAGATGGGGCATTTGCAGCCAACCCAGTGTGTAGCCAAAGGCCTGTGTGCACTTAATTGCCAGATTGGAGTGACCACTTGGATTTAAAAATATCCAGCCCAGCTGTTGATTGATTCTCTACAGAAAAGCTGAAAAAATTAAGGAAAACAAAAAAAAAAAAAAATCAGTGGGGCTTCAAGTCCCAGCAAGGAACTAGGTCCATACTCTTGAACAGTAGGCAGAAGAACTGGTGGCCTATGCAGTGAGAGGGGGTTTTATGCACAGAGAATTGCCCATAGGAGGTGCCAAGCTTATTCCTGCCTTGTGTCCTACTCCTGGTAGGAGGCATTATAAAACCCTATCAGCCATGAAAATGATGAGAAAGAGAAGCTGTGTAAATCAATGAACGAAAGAGAAAGTCTTAAGACTTAGCAAGCCTTTCCCTGCCCGTAGAGGCTTGTTTAAACTGTGCTGAGTCAGGTGCTGTTCAGCAAACACATATACTGTGTCCACAGTAGAGGGCATTTAACAAAAAGCAGTAGTTTGTACTTCAAAAAAAATGTAGGCAGTTAAACTCTGTCTTACCTAGTCCACACCACTAGACACTATTCGATGTCTAGGTTTCCGAACCCCTTGAGATAGTGGTTAGACACCATGCTGATATCATTGGTTTTAGGCGTGGCACCAGGGAAGACAAGATTAGCCTCTATGCTGATGATACTTTATTATATCTGGGTGATACACAGCACTCTCTAGTTGCTCTTATGGATTTGATCTGTTCCTTTGGCAGATTCTCAGGCTTTAGAATTAACTGGGACAAGTCAGTTTTGCTTCCACTGGAGCAGGAGTTGCTCCCTACCACGTCTAAGATTCAGGTTGTTGAGTCCTTTAAGTATCTAGGTGTTTTTATTCATCCTGTGGTATCTAGATATTTTGAGTTGAATTTAGCTCCGCTGCTCACTAAATTTAAACAAAAATCTGCCTGTTGGTGTCGGCTCCCCCTCACGGTGGTTGGCCGCTCTAACTTGATTAAAATAATATGGGCCCCCTAATTACTATACATTTTGCATAACTCCCCCACTTGGATCTCTCAAAAAACTGTTTGGTATAAACAGATTGATGCCCTGTTCCGAGAACTAATCTGGAAGAAAAAATCCCCCGAATTAAGCTTTCCAAGCTTCAGCTAGGATGGGATTCTGGTGGCTTAGCAATTCCCCATGCTAAGATGTATTTTTTGGCTGCCCAGCTTCAGCAATTTTTGGGGTGGGATACGCTTGATTTCGCTGACCCTATTCAAGCAATCTTAGTATCTGTTAGGTCTGACTACTCTCTGATTTCCCAGTTGGAGGCTGCAATGTTTCCTTCATCCCAGTGCTCTCCCACTGTCTCTATTTCATCAAGTCTAGTCTTCTGTTAATAAAGTTACTGCAGTGGGAAGGTTTTACTGATAGTACCCCATTATGAAAACTTCCACCTTTTGGTGTTAAAGTCGTTTTAGGCCCTTCAGCTAGAATTTAATATCCCGACGCAGGAGTTTTTTCAGTATTTGCAGTTGAGACATGCACTGGCTGCCCAGACTCATACCTATAAAATAGTGGAGAAAACAAAAACACCCTCCATTTTACGGATGCTCAAAATGGGTTGAGGAGGGGTTGGGAGAATGACTTGGGACCCCTGCTTGAGGAGTTGTGGGAGCGGGCGCTGCAGTCCCTCCCTCTAGTGTCATTGTCGCCAACGCAGCGTCTTACTCAACTTTTTATACTTCATAGAGTTGATCATACCCCAGCTAAATTTTATGGCTGGAATCGTAGAGATACTGATTTATGTCCTAGTTATGACAGAGGTCTGGCGGATCTTATTCATATGTTATGGAGATGTCCGAAACTTTCTAGGTATTTGCTAGACATCGTCTCCCTTATTTCCTCCATTTATCAAATTCCCTTGACTGCGGAGCCTAAACTATGCCTGCTTAATATGTTTGACGAATTTAGTATACCTACGGAGCTGATACATTGTTACTAGGTTACTCTATATAGCACAGAAATGGATATCGCCTAGCCCACCTTCTGTAATAGAGTGGAAATCTCAGGTTAACATTGTTATTTCCAGGGAAAAACTTATATTTCAACATAAAGATTGTATTAAAAAAATTTGAGATTATGCGGGGCCCATGGCTGGCTATACCTGGCCTGTCTCCGCTACATATGATTACTAATCAATTGTTTTCCCTATGATTATGTAAGACCCTTAATAATAGTGTACTTAAAAAATGTGGTGACTGGCGTTTATTTGTTCACATAGGGGATGGGAGCAGCTGGATACAATGGGAAGGAGATGTGATATTCGGTCAACTTGTGTTGGTTTACTTGTTGTAAGTCATATGTCCACATGGTGTGGATTTTTCACTGTATGACCATTGTTTTTGTAATACTGTAGTGTGCTGCGCATACATTGTGCGTTTGTTTTTGTGTCTGTTGTAAAAAAGAAAAATTTGTGTTCCAAACTAAAAAAAGATATGATTTAAAAAATATATATATTATGTCTAGGTTTCCCCAATCAATGGGGTCTTGGGACTGGAAACCATACAGATGGACAAGGGCCCTGAACCTGTAAAGCACCTTGAGGTCAACTATGTGCATTCCAGGATAAACGTCCAGCGCAGGATCCAGTGCCTGAGGCAACAATTACAGCCTGTCCCCATTACAAGTACAGTACAGGTCCAGGTACAGTCCCCCAAGGTACACATTGAACATAATCTGTCCAGAAACTGAAGGCGCACAGAATGGTAGGGGTTATATGGGTGCGCTGTAGGAGGGGGGGGTTTAGCTAGTTTTTTACATCAGCACTTGAAGGTAGCCTACAAATAAACCATGGTCTAATAGGAGTCCTGTACTGTATGATTAAGAAATACTACTTAAATCTTTTTTCATCCTGATGGTGACAATGATGGATCAGCCAATTTTAGTCTCAACTGGTTGGGCACGTGACAAAGTGACAATGCAGGACAGGAAATGGAAATCAGAGACCAATTGCTGTCACATAACAGGATCATTATTAGAAGGCAATATTTTAACTGAAGCAGTCATTTAGAGAGATTTAAATGACTCTTGGAATTACATTAACCACTTCAATACCGGGCACTTTTACAACCTTCCTGCCCGGGCCAATTTTTAACTTTCAGTGTTGTCACACTTTGAATGACAATTGCACTCTCATGCAACACTGTACCCATAAAAAAAAAAATTGTACCTTTTTTTCACACAAATAGAGCTTTCTTTTTGCTACTTAATCTCCACTGAGTTTATTTTTTGCTAAACAAAAAAACCCCAAAACTTTTGAAAAAAAATAAATTGCGTTTTTTCTTCATTTGTTAAAAAAGTTTGCATAAATTTCTCCATAAATTTAGGTCAAAATGTTTTCTGCTACATTTCATTTCATTGGTGAAAATACCCCAAATTAGTGTATTAGTTTGTAGGAAAGTTATAAAGTCCACAAAACATGGGTATATATATCTGACAATCGATCAATCCTGATGTACTGACGACCCATCTAATTTCTTGAGGCCTGAAAATGCCAGGATAGTACAAATACCCCCCAAATTACCCATTTTTGGAAAAAATTGTCACCAGTCCAATACAGCATTATTATATAACTGGTGTGGCGGTGATCGGGGACACTGTCTGGTGACAGTATTTAAAAACAAAATAAAGATAATTTAATTTTTTTTTCACATTTTTCTATTTTTTGTTTTTATTACATTTTTTTTTTTTTACAATTTTTTTTTTTCAACACACTGTGACCAAAGCAATACAGTGTTGCACAGTAACATTTAACTACTCTGGGCAAGTGATCAGGATTTATTTTATTTATTTTTTTTACACACATTACGACTGCCAATACTAATGTATTTAATTGATATTTGCAATCATTGTTACTGAATTAAACTGATTCAGTCTTTTGTGATTAGCTGTGATTGGGCAAAGCTCATCACATGATACAGATGGGCTGAGATTGGCCCTGCCTGTACCATGTGACTGCTTTGACCAATCACAGCTAACAAGACCATTGTATACAATGGATGGCATGACAGGAAGCCATCCATTGTATACAATTCACATGTGATCTGCTGTGATTGGTCACAGTGGTCACATGACACTGGCAACAGGCTGGTGTAGGGAAATGTCTTCGGCTGTGTCCCGTGGACAGAGCAGGTGACAAATACTTGAGCGGTTCCGTCTGACAGGACATCATATGATGCCTAGTCAGAAGGAGGAGTGTCCCGCCCGGCCATCAATCTGTTATAGGCCGGGCAGGAAGGAGTAAGCATGTTACATACTATGAGGTTAAAGCAGAAATCAGGTTAAGCCAAAAGGTTTTACAAGCTTTTTCCCCCCTTTCATTCAATTACATTAGCAGCATCCAAAAGTCTTAGCAATCAATATTGCATAAAGGTTTTGCAAATATTTAGCACCACTGATGAAACGTTCTCAAAAATCACAGATTGATCCAGTTTTTCAAAGCACCTGAAAATATAACTCAAGATTTAACCTAGCATTTCAGAAAGGTTGATATGTGACCTGTAATGAATAACAGCATAAGCAAGTTCTGCTTATAAAAGCACTACGATCAATGAGCATAAACATACTTCAAGCAAAATTTCTACTTGAAAACAGAAGAAAAAAAAAAAAAAAGTAGTTACATAACATCACCTGTGACTGAAGTCTGCATTTCTGCAGTTAGATGTTGGCTCTTGATTTAAATGACGCCTCATAGCTATTTTAGCAGGTGAGTATCGGGTGTAATCTGGTTGGGATTGTCCAGCAGTCCTCTCTCCCTTGTGTCGTGATAAATGTGTTGGTGTATTTGAAACAATGTCAGAGTGATCCATGTGGGAAGGAGTACTCTCTTTTGAGCAAGGCCTACTTCCACCATTGCGACCTGAATGGTAAAGCTCGTAGTGCAATGCATGACCGTTTGTGGAGAGCTCTGGGCTTAAGCCATTAGGAATGGAGGTCGAATGGAGATGCACACGTGCATGTGACGCATCAGTGGAGTAGCGAGCACCAAAATTGCCCTTAGAGCGACTGTTGCTTGGCGGAGGATCATCTGGCAAAGTGGAAGACTTCAGCTGAAGCAGCTCATGTTGCCTTTGTAATTTCTCCAACTCGACAATACTAATCTAAAGAAACATAAAACAGACATATTTTACATATTTCAGATAAAACTTTGTTTTCAACCCAAGAGCAACTACATAAAGACACCACAACTTTAAAGTCTTACAGACCTATTATTTCATCTCTTCTAACTTGGGGAAGAACAGCAAAAACCAAAACCCTGTCAAACTGGTGAATCTGAGCTAAATATGGCTGCCTTACTACTTCTCTGTAGTCCATACCTACTGAAACATTTTGGCCCCTTTCACACGGGCATTCTGTGTGTCTGTATTTCATCTGTCCGTTTACGGATGAAAAATGGGTCACCCATGTATTTCTATGGACTAGACGATAATCTGTTAACGTCTGCATCAGTTAAATCCGTTTTTTTTGAACGGAACAAATATTTTTCTTCCGTAAAAAAAAAAAATTGCGGCATGGACAAAAACCTGATGTGAACGAACGAAAAATGGATGCAAATGGACATATAGTCTGCATTGGTAAAGGATGAAAACCGGAAGTGAACTGATGGAAAACGGAAGAGAACTGATGAAAAATTGATGAGAACTGATCCGTTTTTTTTCTTGGAAAAAAAGTGACTAAACAGATGAAAAAAACCTGTAAAAGGGTAAGGCCCCATGTACACGGGACACGGACTGCTGGAAAACGTAGATCAAAAACCGTCTGTTTAGCGTTTTCATACTGCATTTATAAGCGTTTGGGTTTAGAAGCGTTTTTTTTAAGATAACCTCAGGAGACCTTCAAAAATGTAGTACTGAAAAACAGTAAAAAATTAACTATTTCAGACATTGTGAGAGAAATAGAGAGCAGAAGCAGAGAGAGTGGTATTTGTTGAGATTAGCGATTTTTTTTTTTTTTGTGGCGTTTGGATGTGTTTCAGCTCATTTCTCTGCAGAAATTATTGCAGCATATTTTTTAACGCAAAACCTTAAAGTATGGTGTGCCAGGTCCATTTGAGTACCAGGAAAACACTTTGCATGCATTTTTCATGATGAAAAAAAGGCTCTGGACAGCATTTGGAAATGGAAGAGTTAGCTGCGTTTACAAGCATTTTGCGTTTGAAACGCTGATAAAATCTACTGCAAGTTTTCTGCGTAAAAAAAAAAATGACAACTCAACTTCCTGTAAACGCGGATGTGTACATGGACATATAGGAAAACATTAGGGAGAGTTCAGGGGCTGCTGAAAAAAAAACTCTGAACAGCTCCTAAACGTGAGTTTACCAGCTGCAGTGTACATGAGCCCTAACAGTATGCATGGAAGCATATGTAAGCCTCAAACAGATAAAAGTTGCAATATTTTCACTACATGCTGCTACAATATCTACATCCTTCAGCACCACTTGTTTTGTTTTAGCATTAGGTCTGGTGCATTAGGGAGGACAAGTGCACAAAGTCTACCTCAGGCTGGTTATTCTCAGAGGCAAAAGGTAGATTATGCCCACTTGTGCTCACCTTGTGAGCAGGTCCTAACATTATTACAGGAGGAGTAGGCCTGAAGGATATAAACAATACAGCAGCACAGTACAATGGGGACATCATGCATGCCTGAGACTCCCCCCTCCCCAGCTGTGCTTTAAATTGAATACAACCATGAACTGGGCCAAAGCTCATTAAGCCCACTGTGGTTAATTTCACAGTTCACAAAATGTTTGTTGCATCATTAATAGATCTACATATATTCAAGTTGCAATAAACTCAAGATAAAAACTAAAAATTTTCTATATCTTGTGTAAATCGGGCTTTCCAGACTAATTTCTCACCTGGATAAGGGAACTCTACCACATGCAACAAGCTCTTATCAAGTGTTTGAGCTTTCATTCACCCATTTTTCCCCATCCATGACCATGCTCCTCAAGGCTGCCCACATGCAAGTAGTTTGTCCTAGCCATAGAACAGCTCATCTTTCTACAAGCTCAAAAACTAAATATCCAGGGCATAGATGTTGCTGGTTTCCATCATAAGCATTGCTTGATCAGACAATTTAATAATGTTCCTGACTAACCCCATCACTTAAACCATTACAAAAAATGCACAATATATCTCTACTCCACATGGTAAATATTAAAAATACACCAAACAAAAAAGTGCACAATCCCAACACTTTAAACTATTACATAAACCCAAACTAAATGCACCTGCAGCATTACCCCACTCAATATTTCACTATATGATGAATACCAACATCAAATCACAGAGTGGTGAATGATATTGGTATTCACCATACAAAACAAAAGATTGCCTCTTTCTGGTCATAATCAGATAAATCCCAACCATCCAACTTGGTCCAATCACTTCAATGGTCCTAGGAATTAAATGGATGTGTTACTTATCTCTGTATCAACAAGGCGTGGAAAGTTTTTGAAAAACTACATGTCCAAGGGACTTAATTTTTTTTTTAGGCAGAGGTGCTTTTAGGAATTTCTAGGGCTATTAAAAACGAAAGGGGCTATATAGTGACTTTTACGGTTTTTTATTTGTTGCTAGAAAATTTCCTAGAACTCCTAAACATTTTGTTTATAGCAGAGGCCCTAAAGAATTAATTGGTGGGGTTTTTTTTTTTTTTTTTTTTTTAATTTCACACTGCACTGCACAGCGGTTTTTCAAACACTTTTTTTTAAATACACTTTTTTGGAATTTTAATGCAAAAAAAAAAAAAAAAATACATAGCCCAATTGTTTGGTAAAATATAAAAAAGATGAGGTTATGTCAAGTACATAGATGCCAAACATGTCATGCTTTAAAATTGCACATGCCCATGCAATGGCATTAAATGGCATACATTTTACTATCCATAGGTGCCGCTTTAAAAGCTTTCACAGGTTATCACTTTAGATTCACAAAGGAGGTCTGGTGCTAGAATTACTGCCCATGATCTGATGTGCACGGTGATACCTCGTGTGTGTGTGTGTGTGTGTGTGTGTGTGTGTGACAATTGCTGTCTGCTTGCATGCGGGACTGATGCATGCATTCGTTTTTGCACGCAAGCACGGACAGGGGTGCTTTAACATATTTTAAATAATTTATTTTGACACTGTCGCTTTCATTTTTTTTTTTTTCAAATCGCTTTTATTGCAGTCACAAGGAAAGTAAACATCCCTTGTGCCAGCAATACAGTGATAGGTACTCTTTATGGAGAGATCTGGGGACAATAAGACCCCATATCCCTCCTCTGCCCTGAATATAATTTGATCACACCAAGATCGGTGTGATCAAATGCTTTCCATTTTAAAAAATGGCACAGTTTTCATCTTGGAAAGTGATGTATGCTCATCGCTTCCTGTTTCCTATATCATAGAAATGGACAGAGTGGTGCTGGTCTTTGTCAGTCTTTATGGTCAGCCAGCGGAAGCAGCAGCAGCAGCTGGTTGTTTGGGTGTCCTGGATTGGACAGACTGTCTCCCCTCCCACTGGATGGGACTCTGACAGTACAAGGTTGCTGATAACTGAATTATAACAAAAACACGTTTAAAAAAATTTAAACAAAATGAAAAATATATAATAATCTGAACATAATAATCAAATAATACCAACAAAAATAATAAATATAAAAAATGTAAATAAAATAAAAAATATATATCTGCAGATAACAATCAGATTACAACAGAAATAAATAAATAGAAAATAAAAATATCAAAATAAATAAAAAATATATATTTTATATAAATTAAATAAAAAAATCAAAAATAATTTAATACATAAAATCTGCAAAAATCTATAATAAACAAGATTAAAAAAAAAAAGTATCTATCTATATCTATCTCTATATATATTTCCTGGACCTCTCCATGTCAGGCTACCGTGGGTCAGCTCCACCCTCTCTGACCCCTCCAGGACAACCTCTTTCCTAGCCTATAAGAGCAGCTGTCTGTGAGCTGGCTGACACTTGTGGTCCATATCTCAGCAGGTCTATGGGCTGGCTGACACTTGTGGTCCATATCTCAGCAGGTCTGTGGGCTAACTAACTGGCATCTGGGGCTGGTAATCCCCACATTCATGGCAGCTGTGTTTGTTCTGGCTACAGAGCAGGCTAGGTGGTACACCTGCCAAGATGGCAGGCGCTGAACTTCCCGGGTTGCCATAGAGCTGCTGAGACGCTCTGTGACACAGGCAGCTACTGCGTTATCTAGAGGCTCTCTCTCATGTTGCTGCTTCTACAGATGCTGCTGTGTCTCTATGAGCTTCACCTGTTTACCTAATCACTCTACTACTCCAGCCTGGTTCTTTCTGCTGCATTGTTCCCTCTTGGTCACCTCAGCTGTTTACCTTGGAAGCATGCACATGTATTAGGACTCTGAGATGTGGTTAGGTTATATTCCCCCTTAGGCTGTTAACTAAAAGCTGCAGCTTCAAGCACTGAAGATCTAATGGAGAGGTACTTTTTTCCGTTTGTTAAATATTTAAATTACTTTTTTGCTACTTTAAAAAAAAAAAAAAAAAAAAAAAAAAAAAAGAGTGCTATCTGTGTACCTTTTTGGCAGAAAGAAGACTCCAGCGCGGAATAAAGCGTCTGCCAAGAGCTCGGTCCTAAACAATCCTTTCTACTGTTGTCCAGGACAAGATGCTTCACCAGAACAGTCCAGGGTGGATCAAGCATCCACCAAGTGGTCGTTCTAGGATGCCATCGCCAGTGGCCCAATGCAGTTGTACGAAAATGAGACAAGGAAAATCATATCACCAAAACGCTTCCAAGAAGAGTAAATCCTCTGGCCAGCACAGGAAAGGTCTTCTACCTCTTCCAGAGCCTCTTCTCCAACCCACCCTGAAGTGGTGGCTTGTTGGGACTGTTCAGCTGAGGTATTGCCAGGAGAATTAGTGGGCATATCCTATCTTAGGTAGGGGGCATGTGACAAAGCTGCAGATGCGCAGCAAGTAAAATTGTACATTAGAGACACAGCAAAAAGAGTTCTTCACCCAAAAGACAAGAAAAAGAAAAGAAAGTATGTCAAAGGGATGGCAAATTATGAAATACAGTTCCCAAAGTAGTCACCTCTTTACAGAGATTG